AGAGAGAGAGAGAGAGAGAGAGCGATGGCTGAGTGGGAGAGGAGAGGAAAAGGATACACGTTTGCGTGTTTGGCCCTCGTTCGACTTTCTCCATCCTTCCTCAACAATAATCATAGCAAAGCCACGATTGTCACCTATTATGTGCATTGTGCGTCGGAAGGGCTCGCGTTTCTCCAAGAACATTTGCTTTGGAGCGGAATATCCGGTTGCGTTTACGATCCGTTAAATACATTAATACGGCTCCTACCTAAGAATTGTTTCTTCTCACTCCCTCTACCACAAATTACGCAAGTTTTTTTTATTGCGACGTTAAAACAAGAAGACAGAGAGCTTGACTCTCGATACGTATATCGAATTTAGCGAGATACTTTCAGCAGCAAACCGACTGAAAATACAATTTTCAGTTTATAGTTGTGGAAAAATTCATGATGCAGCGAAGCTTCCCTTTTAATTAAAATACTTTAACAAGTTTTAAACAATGAAACTTTTAGCGTAAGGAAGGGCGTAGGTCGACTGACAATGCCACTTTTACCATTGCAGCATCAACTTATTTATCTAGTAAGATTGTTATTCGTATCTGTGCTTTGATATTTCGTATCAAAACTTTGACCAGACGATAATTCTTAGAATTTTAATAGAAGTACCGATATATTTGCGAACGCGTGTGAAGGAGCAAAACTAGAGAATTTTAGTTTTTCATTCAATTTTCTTGCAATTTTAATTATAAATTATTTAAAGCTTAGAATTAATTGTAAGCTACATTATAAATGCATTTCATTTTCAATGTACATTCTCTACGAATGGCAGGCGAATCGTCCTTTCGTTTAAACGGGAAAAATTTAAATAAGAGTGCGCTTTAGCCAATTAATGATGCTCTATTATGGGATGGTTAGATTCTTTGGGTAACACTAGTATCGCCAACATTTTTCCTCCTAGATACGTAATTACAATTATATCCCTCTTATTCGAAAACGATCGTTTATCCACGTGCAAAATATATAAAAATTTTCATTAACGGCCCTTTATTTACATGATACTTTAGAATTAGATATTTGTCGTAACGATCTCGTAATTCGGCATAATCAGGTCTAATTAAAAAAAAATTAATAAAAATTATATGGCGGTAATTTTGTGAACAATCAGTCCTGCTGTGGCACATTAAAATTGGCTCGGAGATTACACTCGAATCGCGTAAGGGAAATCATTAATAAAATCCATCGTAATAAAAGAGTACGCTTAAGCAGGCATTGAAGGGAACATTGAAGGGAACTTTGAAGGGAACTGAAGAAGAGGAGAAGATATTGCGGAAAAGGCTGGGACTGGAGCTTGCGAAGACGGCGCTTAAATCATAAATAAAATCGAAAAGCAACGGCACTCTCCTCACCTCCCCCTAATCTTCACGACTTGTCTCATTAATTCACGTTACATTGCGAATTCGCAAACACTTCGCATCTTGAGACTCGAATGGAGAAGAGAAGCGGCCGGGAGGGAGTGGGTGAGGATGGGAGGGCCGACGATCACGAGCGTAAATCGAACGTAAGCTCGAGCCGCGGAATTGAACGAGTCCGCCTCCGGGAAAAAGGAATCACGTGAAAGTGGCGCTGGTAAAGGAGAAAGAAGAGTCACTGCTATGAGTGCAAAGTGAAGTCGTGAAACTCTCGAAGAACGAATTTTTGTGGAGAATCGTCGTATCGAGAAGCTTTCGAGTGGCCTGAACGACAGCAGTATACACGAGTCGCCGATGCGGACCCGAAAGCTTTTTTATTATTGGAATTTTTCTCCGGAGCTCTGTCGCTTGCCATTGCAGTCTTTCCTCTCGCACACCCATCCCACCCGCACCGTTCCACCATTCCGCCATCTCTCATCTCTCACCCCACCCCACGCCGACCAATGTCACCCGCCGTCACCCATCCCCATCGTACTTAAAATCGTAAAAACGCCAATTTCAACGCCTGCAAGCTCCTCGAGGATCTTCCTTATTTCATCGTCAATCATTGACTGTATTTCGCGAGCTTAAAAAAACATAAAGCATAAAACTCGACAATTTCCTCTCGTTCCCAAACTAATAAACGCCTTAATGTCGAGTCGATATTTTTATGTTTTATTATTAAATTAAATTTGCCCTCGAGCCATTCAGACTTCTCGCATGCCGTGTCATTTTCTTTTCAATTAATTATGATAATGAATTCGACCAAGATAGTACATACGTACGGACATATATCCAAAGCAAATAGAGCCGTTATTCAATGGTGAACCTTTGAAAAAAAAGAAGCAAAAATTCTTTTATATAATTTTCAACCGTTAATTATAACGTCGTTACTCTCCGGCCCATCGGAATTTCGTTATTTCGTAACCAACGCATGCATATTAAATTAAATCTATGCATATTAAATTAAACGATGCCGCGGATCAAGGCGATGACCATTAAAGTATTCGTTGGCTGCTCGTTCACCAAATAGTTCCTTAATACATTTTAATAACCCAAGTGATTTTAGATGATATCGTAATCATTGATAACCACCGACAAAAATCACAACACGCCCGACAATTACCTCAAACATGAATTTTTAATCTACGTGGACTGACTTTAACGCACCGTGAATTATAAAGTAGCCCCTTGACGAATAATTGTTGAGAATAATCGCTCGTATCACTTACGACATCGCACAGCCATCGGAGTAAACGCTTGGCCAAAGTCGAAATTCCTGTCGACGAGTCGACAAGGCCACGAAAACGGCACTTCAGCCCAATGAAATAACCGCCGACTCGCGGAGGAAAGAAATCGAGCGAGCAAAGCACGCATCTGCCGTTGGAGCAAACCAATAGCGAACGAGGAGGAGACGAGCCAAGTCCTCTTTGGCCCGAGCTCTTTAAAATTGCATAACGGTCGGTAAAAGTCGGTAAGGCAATACGAACAACAGTCCCGCCACGACGAGGGATGGACACGGCATTCGGGGGATCCGGAGCAGCGGTCCCGGGAGCTCCCCGTGGCCCCAGGCGGACCCAAATAAAACGTGCGTGCCAACGGCCGCTAGGGGCCCGCGAAAATGGGTCCCGGCACCGAACTAAAAATAGTGCCCTCACGGCCGGCGAAAGTATCCCATTGTGGCGGGAATTCATCCTTTACGTCGCCGTTGCATCGCCGTTGGGAGTTTTTCGGGGCGAGGAGGGGCGCCCCCTACTCGCGCACGTGCATTGTGCGCAGGCACGCACACGACTACGCCCGACGCGCATCGGTGCGCTCGTTAAGGTATATATCCTTCCTCCTGCTCGGGCCCCTCGTTCCTTCCCTCCCGCGCCCTCGCTCTCTCACGCTCGCTCACGCTCTCTTACGCTCTCTCACGCTCACGCTCACGCTCACGTTCTCTCTCTCTCCCTCTCTCTCTCTCTCTCTCTCTCTCTCTCTCTCTCTCTCTCTCTCTCTCCCGATCGCTCGCTCGCGTGCACGGGCGTCGGCAATGACCGACGTAAAGAAGCGTCTCTCGGGAGCCGCGATGTCCAGGAGGTGCGGGACGTAAGATGACCGAGTGGTCGACTAGGCCAGAAGAATCAAGTCGTCTCTCAATGGTTAATACTCACTCCTCGGGAACTGTCATCCTCTAAGAGATACCGCTGGGGGAAAAGCCGAGGGCCTCGGCGACTAGCGGCCTGGGGCACGGCGGAAGGGGAGCACAGGTATGCCGCGATAGTGCTGCCAACCACAAGGACACCACACCCGAGAGTACGAGGCGCGGACGAGAGATTGGTGGACCCTGACGCGGTGAGCTCCTCCGGCGGCGGGGGCCTTGGCGCTACTAGCGCTCGCTGACGTAGTGCCCGAGCGTAAGCGTAAGCCCCATGGAATGTACCGCGGGGCGGGGGGAGAGTGAGAGAGTGAGAGAGTGAGAGAGAGAGAGAGAGAGCGCGCGCACGGTAGTAGCGTACGCGCGCGCGCTTGGACGTGTTTGCGTGTGTACAACTCCTCTCTCGCCGTCGCCGAGTCTTTATTGCTGCCTCTTCTTCAAGACGCTTTCCTCGCTCTGCGGGCCCCATGCAATCGTGTGCGTGCTTGGTTCTGTATACGAGCTGACCGCCTGCTTGCCTGCCTGCCTGTCTGCCTGTTTGCCTACCTGTCTGTATGCGTACGTGCGTACGTGCGTACGTGCGTACGTGCGTGCGTGCGTGCGTGGAAAAGAGCAACGTGGCGGGGTGGGGCCCGATTTTCTAGATACGCGTACATTTCGAGACGCCTTGTGCGTTCCAAAGAGATTTTTTTCCCCATTTTTTATGGGAATTTATGTGTGAGTTCGAGCGGACCCTACATCGATTCACCCATTCTCCCCGCGTCACGGAAATATCCTTTCCAACTTCTAAGCGGCTGATGCTCCATTGACGTGCCTTGAAATTTCGTTTGGAACGTCGCTGCTTCACTGACGCACCGAGATTCCAACCTTGTTTTTCGTCTCACTGGCACGACGGTGCCGGATAACTCGTTATTATACATTGTTTGCCCATAAGCAGGTTAATATTCGGCCTCGATATGGAAATTTTAACATCCGAGACTCGTGCTTATTCGGTGAGAATGTCCCTCGGCAGCTCAATGGCGCAACATATTTGTTTATACATTATAGCTCGCTGTGTAACTATTTTATATCATAGCGTCGTCATAGTGATAAACGATAAACTAATGAATTCGTTAATTCAATGTAATATTTAATCGCAGCTTGATAATTTCACTAATTTAGGCCTTACATTGCTAGTGCATTCGATTGCCAGCACAAACAACTAAAGAGATTCTATTTTATGCGCCAATATTTTCCTGATGTCTTTGAATTTCCTCCTCGAGGCAGAAAAATATTAGAATTGACTGCGATTAGATTTCTCGCCAAAGTGTGTTACTCGCTGAAAAGCAACGCGGAATTTTTACTTTCTGCGTGCTAGTTCACTCACTCTATGTGATAAGTAAGATTTGGTGAAAGTGTCGACAATTGCAACAATCTTCTCGAGCCAAAAGATGTTTTTACCAATATCAGCTTGAACGTACGCGATTTACATTATATGCCTAGACATTGCGAGCGAAGAAATTATTCATGAAATTTAACAGGCGTTTTGTTAAATTAATTAATGGAGGGCATTTGCTTTCGATTGCAATTAAATATTCAGGCTGCGTAGTTAAAAAGGCAACGATGCAACAAACGTTGTATTTTATTGTTCAATACAATTAGTTACGTTTAAAATTATCACTCCCATTATCAATAACTTCTCTGAAAATGGAGCAATTTTTGTGCTTGATAAAAATAATCAGCTTTGATAAGTTTTCATAAGTTTTATTAGTGGTCGTATGTGGTGATAAATTATGAGAATTAATTTAGAGATATAAGAATATAAATACGATCTTTAAATTCTTAAGCTTATTGTTATAAATTAATTATTCGATGTTAGTGTTACGATATATCGAAAATATAATTAATCAATATTGTTACGTGCAATGTTCATACATCTTATATGAAAACTGAAATAAGAATTTATTAGCAAGAGAAATATTTTTCTTAATTTCTTAATAGACTATCATGATTAACGCTACTCTATCATTTTAATCTTGCTAATTGTAAAATATTTTATAAGAACGAATTGAATATTTATTTCTGTAAAGCTTATAAAATTTATAAAAGCAAATAAGTAGTGGAAATAAATATCCACGGAATTAAATCACTGAAAAACTGTGGACGTGATATATTTTCATGCGAATATATGTTTTTCCAATATTAATTAAATACACATTTCAAATCTATGACTATTACCAACAACTAGTGCAACTAATATTATTTTATTATGTTCTTCGATAAATTACGTAATAAAATAATGCCTGATTCATAATTATTTATAACATTCTATTATAATTAAACGACGTGCTTTAAAATTTGGCGAATCTTTCTGGGCGAAAAGTTTTTTAATTCTTCCCATGTATACTTATCTAAACGTTAGCAATCCTTAAAGTGTAAAAAAATGTGTCAATAAATTTTTTTAATTACTTTCTTAGGTTTCTAACCTTTCTGCTTCTCGTTGTTTTATTGTTGTTGCCATAATAATAAAGGAGACGTGAACACTAATGTTCAGCTATAAAACTAATGGCTGCTCGAATATTTCGATATATAATTTTGTCCTTATGCCCCAATCACCGACATATTTAAAAATAAGAAGTATATTACGGAGGAGACAACATTTATCTTCGTACAACAGATTAACTATTTACCAAGAGCCTTCCAAATTATTACCAATGGCTATAACAATAAGAATAATAATCAACAATTTTGATACGTCAGGCATATAAATCAGTGGGCATAAGATCTAACAAACTTGTAATTTTCATTAGATTAAAAGAAATTTTAATATTAACAATTTTTTATTTCTAAATTTATCCTACTATTAAATTTTACCATCTAATTAGTTACTATTTAATTTTGTAACATGCCAATGAATTCCTTACGGCGCATTTCACTCTTATTTGCTTATAGCATTAAAATGAACCTGATCGAATGCTATTCCCGAGAGAACATCTACCAATGTCTATTTTTTTTTCTTCTTTTTTTTTTTGACCTCACCGAGAATCTGATTCTATCTGCGCTATTGCTCCTCCGAAATACACTTATTTTTATCCTAATACAATTTAATTGACTTTAGAAAGTGACTTCGATGTGAAATGCGATTGCTTCAAAATACCAAAAACGTTCGTTTTCATAATCTTAGTAAAATGGCAGATAAAATTTTGTTCGAATTTTTTCATCCTGATATAAGATAATGAAAACTTTAAATATTCAAGGAACTCGGAATGAAACTATTTTTTATCTGTTCTTAAAAATGGAAAAATTTATAATAACTTATCATTACGTTACGTTTAATTTCCGAATAATTTTGTCAACGTAAAATAGAAAATCAAATATTTATCATATCAAATTTTTCAATTTCATTATATTACTGATAATAGCCTATTTTATATTTCGGCATTTTTTATGTTTGGCAAATTCTATGTTCATAGGAAGCAACTCAACTGGAATATATTAATTTATACAGAAATGACTTAACACTCGAATAGGTTGTTAATTATCCATGGAACATTCATTAAAATCAATTAAAAAAACCTATGGATAAACATACTATTTATAAATAATACTTTAATAATAATTTATGAAAATACATAATACAATGATTATTGGATTATTGAGTTAACAGTTAATTTTCATTAAAGATGAATAAATGAAATTATCGATCCAAATATAGATACGGTTTAAAAATATTTTAATTTACGATCAATATTAATAAATGACTTTTTCATTAATAGTGTGATATGTGGGTTAGGGATGGAGGGCGCGTGTGTATGTTTAATTTTTAGAATCTTGATAAATCGATTTACTTAATTCGTTAATCCAATAAAGTATTAATTGGTAGCATATCCGTTTTCCAATTTATTTTTATTTTCCACACTGGTAAATCAAATTTTTATACGCATAAATATATATATAGATTAATATTCAAGCATTGTACCACATTTCATAAATCAGAAAAATCTTGTTTATATTTTTAATGATTGGAAAAAATACTAATAAAATTATAAAATTAAATATTTTCATAAAAAAAAAAAAAAAAAAAAAAAAAAATTACGTAGAAAAAATGAATGATTTAACAAACATTTGCAAGTATTTTTAAACTAAAATATGTAAGTAGCGAAAAATTTAATTTAATTAATTCAGAATCTTAGAATGCGAAGCAAAGTATTTTAACATTGACACGATTTCCGAGATTCTATCATTTTTCTTGACCGTCTATTAATATTTAGTTCTTTAATTTAACGGCTAAAACGATTATATGGTTTAATTTCATTTTAAAATAATATTCTTTTATTACTTTGATTCTGAAAGTTTTCGTCTACGTGATAAAAATCATAATTTGATAAAACCAAATACTTAAAATAAAGATGAAATAGCGATCATTCATTCCTGATCATATTCGACATAGTGAATTGGTATTCTTAAATTATTTTATGATAAGAGTACTTTACAGTTAACGGTAGGGAATTATTATGGACATTTATAAAAGATGTTAAATTCTGAAGAAAAGAGTAGAATTGGTATTCACTTTAATCTGATCTTTTTAATAGTAGTAGTTAAGGTCTTTCATTTACTTGGCATTAATTGACATAAACGACATCTTATAATAATAACAGGTAGTATTCACTTTAATGTTTGTGCATTTAATTAGATTACATTTTCGTCGGCAATACGCTTTATGATTCAGGTTTGAAGATACACACGTAACCGCGCGCGCGCGCACACACACACACGCACACACACGCACGCACGCGCGCTAAGAAAAAGAAATACTGATGCATTAATTATTATTACATATTACGTACATATATTTTATTTGCCCAACAGTATTAGGAATTCAATTTATTAAATTGACATAATAATCATGAATTTTAAATAGCACTAAACTTTTTTTCAGTCTATATTGTAATTGCAATTTTAATCACTGTCGATAGATGTGTGAAGTTATCGTTTTCAGATTATCATTCGGAAATTTTGCAGTTTCTAGATCCTCCGAATGATTTTTGGCTGTGCGTAATATCTACTGATTGCGAAACTACGGATTAATGATGCCTTTGAAGCTCCATGTAGAACGTTCAATAGAGTAATATTGAGCTGAAGCAACATAACAATTACACTGAACTACTTTGTAGTCTACTTGCTCGAGTCTTCCGTAGAAATATAAATCAATCGAC